GCATTTAAGATGAAGGATATGGGGGAGTCAAGGAGTATACTAGGCATGGATATTTATAGAAATTTTGAACCGAAGAAGCTATGGTTGAATCAGAGCAAGTATGTTCGCCGTATACTTGACATGTTCAACATGGCCGATTCGAAAGGAGTTTGGACTCCTCTGCTGGCACATTTTAAACTCTTCGCAGCCCAATGTTCTACCAATGATGAGGAAAAGAAAAGAATGTCATGTGTTTCCCATGAACAAGTTGTAAACAGCCTCATGTATGTAATGGTGTGCACTAGGCCTGATATTGCTCTAGCAATGGGGAAGGTGAGCAGGTACATGTTGAATCCATGGAAAGTTCATTGGAAAGCAGTGAAATGAATTCTGAGATATCAGAAGAGTACTGTGGATTATGGCTTATTGTTTGATAGCTTATTAGACAATGCCAAGTCCTTATTTGGCTACGTTGATGCTAACTACGGACTAGATTTAGACAAGAGTAGATCTACAACTGGATATGTGTTTACATTTGGCGGCGGAAGCATAAGTTGGAGATCTATCTTGCAAAAGTGCGTAGCTCAGTCAACAACAGAAGCTGAATACGTGGCAGCAGCAGAAGCGGAAAAGGAAGTTATTTGGTTGGATTGGCTTATCATGGAGATGGGATTAACACAAGGAGTGGTCGATCTTCATTGTGATAGCCAGAGTGCTTTACATTTGGCTGCGAACCATGTCATGGATAGTAGAATGAAGCACATCGACATTAGGTATTACTTTATTAGACAAGCAGTATATGATAAAACAATTGAGCTAGTCAAGATTGACGGTAAACTCAATCCAGCTGATGCGTTGACCATTATTCTTTTGGAGAGTTTCAGGCGACACTGTGCTACTATGCAAGTTATGCATAGGAAGCACGAGAGATATGGTTATAAGTTACCTCTGTATATTGTTACTCCATCCTCTTATGGCTACGGATTAGTTTTAGTTAACTTTTGTTTAAACAGTGACCTTGTGATAGGATTTCGTCTAGAACTTTTCGCGGAGTAATAATATATATTAGACTGGTGACTGAAATTCCTTAACATGAGTTAAGGTGAGGTTGTTGAGTTAGCTTTGTATATTATTACTCTATCTTGGTATGAGAGTAATAATATAGGTTAAAGAGGTGACTGAAATTCCTTGACATGAGTTAAGGTGAGGTTGTTGACTCACCTCTGTATATTATTACTTTATCTTGATATGAGAGTAATAATATAGTTTAAAGAGGTGACTAAAATTCTTTGACATGAGTTAAGGTGAGATTGTTGACTTACCTCTGTATATTATTACTTTATCTTGATATGAGAGTAATAATATAGGTTAAAGAGTTGACTAAAATTCCTTGACATGAGTTAAGGTGAGATTGTTGACTTACCTCTGTATATTATTACTTTATCTTGATATGAGAATAATAATATAGGTTAAAGAGTTGATTGAAATTCCTTGACATGAGTTAAGGTGAGATTGTTGACTTACTTCTGTATATTATTACTCTATCTTGTAATGGTTACGGCTTAGTTCTAGTTAACTCTCGTTTAAAAAGGTACCTTCAGTCACGATTCTGTCTAGAACTTTCTGCTGAGTAATATGGGTTAGAGAGGTTAGTGAGACTTCTTAACACGAGTTAAGGGGGAGATTGTTGAAGTTAACTCTAGTTAATGAGTTAATTCAGGTTAACCAAATATATAGCCTAAGAGTGATAAGAAGAACTCACTTCAAGCAGTAAACTTTCTCAAGTGTATTGCTCCGTGGACGTAGCCTCTGAGGATGAACCACGTTATACATGTGTACTCTGTGTTTATCGTGTTGTTGGTTTGCTTAGTCTGAGGTTTATCGTTACAGTTTTTATACTTATCTTATCACAAAAAAACTTGAAATGTATAATAAAAAGTTCATCATCCATTTTTAAACAATGAATTTACACAAATTACTTAGTTTATATTATCAAAACCAAAAATCTATTACAAAAATTCATGTGATAGTCACATGCTTACAACTTGCTTACATCCTAATATTTATTCAGATGCGCAACATTCAAATTTTTTTGGCATTCAATTTTATTGCGTATTGACAATGAAATTTTTTAATCATTTGAAGGAATTATCAAAATTAGCAACAGGCTTTTAAGTTTGATTTCACATTGGCTTCACTCCATAGTGAAGCCAATGTACAAGATATTCTAATCTTTATAATTAATGCAAGATTCGATAATCTTAGAAACTTTAAATACTTTTTCTCAGTCAATTTTGATTGGTGACGGAGTTGCTAGCAACTGTTTTGAAATAATCGATTGTCTAAACGATTCAAGCAAAGAAACACGAGATAAATTTTCATAAATAATGGTAGGTCTAACTTGTATGCTACATCATTGACTTGCTTACTCACACAAAAAGCTCCAAAATCACAATAGTTAATTTTTTTGCTTGACTGATGAGTCTTCAAAGTGCGACGCAAAAGCCAGACTTAATCTCCAACTTAGATATTTTGTTGTGTGAATATGTATCTTCATATTCTTTTCATCGCTCACATGCCATACACACAAACACACATATATAGAAACAAAAGCATACACAAACACAAATGTATCACAATTCCCTTCTTTTTTGAAGAATTTTCATACATCGAGTACGTTAGATCAGTATATGATTGATAGATTTTTTATTTGAGGTTTGCGGGGTAATCAACTCAGCAACAAAAAAGACATGATCATTGAAAAGGTTGAGAGAAAGTCTAGACAGGTTGGATTTTGCACGTGTTGGATTGGAACTACATTAGGCCCTCAATGTTCGTTGCTTAAGCTTTTTCAAATTTGTCTTTTTACTGTCTTGCGGCGATTGATTGTGATTGATCACATTCAAGAACTGTCAATTCTTCGAATGATAACATTCGTGCAAATATCACTAGTTTACAACATAAACCTCACATCAAAATTTAGCCAAATTCACTTCATAACTCGGACAATCTAGATTGATGCTAGTGGGACATTATAGCCAACATATCGAAAGTTATCCCAACGCTAAAAGTCTCAACTCGAAGAAATGATAATTTTTAAAATCCGCGCAACTATACTATCTGGCGGAAATGAAACTATCCTGGCTCTATCTAGGATTAACTCAACTATAGTTAATACTAATCCAATGCTAATTATAGACAGCATGTATACACATGACAATTTGGATTTTGCTTTCAAGATTTGTCCAGATTTCTTTTCTATCTTTCTTAAACTTCTACAAGTATTATTTTCATGATTTTATGTATCTTCAAAAATCTAATGATCATATCTTGTGCACTCACATTTTCTGCCAAATTTAAATTTATATAGTCAAATGGTGGATAATATACATAATATATGAAGAATAGAATTTTGTGGATGAATTCTTAAAATGTAATGTTGTAATCAAACTTTACAGCTGGAAGTAGATATAACCAATTGTCTTGATATTAGTTGATAGAGCACCTTGAATACTTCTCCAATCTATGTATAATTCATTCTAAATTTTAAATCAAGAGTTTATGTCACATGTTGTGACATAATTCTTCACGATTTTTGACCATCAAAATAATCTAGAAATCAGTTTCATGATCTTTTTGTAATTATATTGTATCGTAGATGAAAAGTTGTGTCGAGATTATAGCATTTGGAACAGAACATGTATCTTCAAAGATCTAAAGTAATCCCTAATAGTATAACAACTCATTTCGGAACTGGAATCTTGGATATTCATCATACGATATGGAAAGACGGGAATTGGAAGTAGATCTGATTTGTGATTTCGAATCTATAACCTCTAAGTTCTAAGTTGGAAAATTTATGGTGTTGGAGATGCTAACATTGGTAGTATAATAGGTCATCTCAGAACTAGAATCTTAAATCAACATCATGCTATATGAAAATCTGCTATGCTAGCATTGTTATTCAATTTTTAGAGCAAAGTATAGGATTTTAAACTTACTCAGATATCTTGGAAAAAATGCATTTATTGAAGTTGCGGTGCACATTGTGTATAGCTCAACTTGATCCGATTTGAGAAGAGTAGTTTTTTGCTGGTTGTAAATACATCTATTTCCCTGGATGTAAAAATTGGCTTCAGGGAAGAGCGTTAGACCCAATTTGTTGGTAATTGGAGCTTCACGTGATGACAAAGTTGAAACTCAAAACTCTAACGTTCTCTTATGACTAAATCAGGATGATAAAATTCACATACAAAAAACTCGAAAAATAATATGGTTCGCTTATAGGCTACATCCACTGCAGCACTTGCTGTGTGATGAAAATGTTGAGTGTGGCAAGTGTGTTAGATCATTTGTTTTTTCTATTCCAAAATTTTTTATTTTTTTTCTGAATCAATTAAAGGAATAAATAAATCAATTAAATTGTGATAGGCTTAATAAAGAGCTCCTTTTGGGTTCAAACTTCCATCGGCCCACAATTCAAGAAAAAAATATTTTTTTCTTGCGCGAAGTAGTTGACCGAAACCAAAAGAATAAGTCACAAAAACTAACATTTATTTTCCAAAGTGTGTAACATCTAAGAAAGTACCTTTTGAGTTTTACCCCTTTGAGTCAATTTTGTAGCTGTGTGGCAAGGGAACAAAACTCAAAATTCTCAAAAATGACTGCAAGCTTTCTAACCTGTAACAAAGTCTCAAATTTTTTTCTTTCAGGAAACTGCAATCTGTGTGTTGCAGTCAAATTTCAGATTCAGTGCATCACTGGTCATTCAAAGAATTCATCCATACTCGTTCATGTGCTTCTTTAATGAGGGATATCACATTCACTTGCCGAGAAGATGTCGAGACCGGAAGCTTTCGTATTTCTTAAATTAATTAATTTCTTAAGTAACATCTAGAAATTTAAGAAAATAAATTATTTAATTTCTTAAATAAGCTTTATAAGCCGAATTTGTTAATTCTCTAACGTCTTTGCCTCTATTACTCCGTTGCACAAGTTGCTTCTCCAGCAGCGGAGAAACAATTTTTCGAGCAACAGAACTTGCTGACAGCGTAAACGGAAGCTGATTAAGAAGTACTCTCGCACAATGTCAGTGTTACTTCAATGTCCGCTTGTGGACAAAGCGTGACGGAAAACGGAACATGATCAGGTTTTTGCACCTGAACCGTGACTCAGAAAGTTTTGGGATGAACCCGTACGATGGTGGGCAATGATCATCTGACAGTGAATGAATGTGTGCAGTTGTGGATCTGATTTCGACTGGTTTTGTGCAACCATGTTCAAAAACCTTCGAATGGAGGATGAGCAGTGGTGAGCATATACATCAAAGGAATCGTGGCCCGAGCGAGTTAGAGGCAATCTTCTGCACCTCTCATATCATGGTTCCTCTTGACAGCAGTCATTTCAGCCCGGCAGGGGTAAACGTTAATGGTCACCGATCAGCCAGCCGGGAATGCAAACTTGCCTGTGAACGAGATGCTTTCATGTGCCCTCGTTTGAATCTGCTGTCACCCCAGTTTTCGCTGAATTGAGTATTTCTAACGAGACAACTTCCACATCTGCATATACTCGATTACCGGCTGATTCTCTATTTAGACTTTAAAAATCGTCACTCGTTCTCTACACACTCCCTTATTTGCAAGTTGACACGCCGGAAGACGCTTTGAATGACTTTATTTCTTCGATTAGCTGAACTGATGGGGATGAGTGAAGCAGGGTCCCAGCTTTGTGGCCCCTACATCCATTTCCACACAGCAGAAATTCTGCCGAATCTTGTCGTGAAAATAAAGAAATTTCCATCAATTTTTTTCCAGATGGACAAGACGTTGTGAAGTAGATGTTAGCCACGGACGATAAGGAGTGTGATCGTAAACCAGGAACAGAGAGCATTCAGCAAGGTGGAAGCTGTTCCATTTGCATCGGCTGTCGAACGACCGTGAAGATAAGAGAACGTCCGCATCAAGGCAAAGCAAGCTGTACCATAGCAACCGAGGAGCAGACAGATATCCGAGCCTGTCCTTCAGTGGAGGTCACTGCCACTGGAATTGTGTCAACTCAACAGTTCAGTGTTATCACGTTTCTGGAAGTTGGTTCACAGCCTGAAATCTGGGTCAAAAAAACGGTATCGTACTGGAATCGAAAGAATCATCGGAATTCGTAATTTTACACTCATCGTCTATGCAATAAAAAATCTCGCAGGAAGAGTCCAAAGTGCAAAACATCCAAAACTCAATGTGAGATGATGCGCTTCGTGGTCATCTAATTTCATCGTTGGTCACTCTGCGAACCGTACCTTACTGTCTTCGTGAAGTAAGACAACAACAGTTGTAGCCTGCACGTGAGGTCTATGAGGTTCTGGTGTAGGCTCCAAATTACCATAAGTTAAATAAAGAATATCCGCAAACGAGTACTTAGCGATTGCAGGGAAGCGGAATGTGCAATATGACCAGGAAGCAACACAGCACACCTTTGCGGACAACGATGTGAGAGGATGCGGGAGCTGCTGTCGAGCAGATTATGTAATTAGAAGGGAGGGGCGAATAAACAAAGCAGTGGCGAATCGATTGGAGCTCTTGGGTAAGATTCCGTTGTCTCATTCATAGCGATGTAGGTCATCATGACAGCCAATTCAGAGACTTGTGCTTACGACGGAAAAAGTTTTTGTGTGAGCTTGTGGCTTAGGTCCTTAGTGATTGCCTGGCAATTGGATCTTACTGTTTGCTGAAATCCAGTAAAAAGCTGTCCAGTTACATGATTTCTAGCCAGCAGAAGCTGTGACCGTGGTCTGTGGTCACCGTCTCACGTCTTATCGAGAGGTCCGTGAAATCCACGTGAGAACGGAGCACTTGATTCTTAACATGTCACATGCTTACCGTAATACCGTACACACCTTTCGTTCCTCGGAGTTTGATTTGTGGTATGATTGTGGTTTGATTGTCCTAGAACTCAATACCTGAAGGAAATCTCATTTCTCTATTTGACTGTCCCTAGTCTCAGCGGAGTTGTGGGATTTCTTAGTTCTTACTGTCGATCGTGAGTGTTGAATCACGTCAGCCTTTAATGAATCGTTATTAACCTAATGATAGAAGTTGATGTTAGACAAAGTATAGGGAAATAAACGAGCGGAAATTTGATAGAAAATGCACTTATCCTTGATGGATCTCACTCATTTCCTTCCTTCCCTATAATTGAATCTTCAGTTTCGAGAGTCATTGTCGACAGCATCACAAGTAACAGGGCGACAGGGTGTAGGAGGTGGAAGAGTCCTTTGATTCACTTCGCTTAGCGTCGAAGAGCTGCTGTCGTTCGCTTCTATCAATTCGATGCGATTGTGCATCGTTTTGTGGACGAATCTTGCATGTTTAGAAAGGTGATCATGGTGGGTCTACTGGTGTGGTGACCACCACTTGTTACACAACTGTTAGCTGACATTCGATGTCGATGCAAGCGAAAGATGACATTGCTCAAACATTTGTCGTCTCTTAAATAGCCGTGTAAGAGAAGTAATCTCCTGGTTGCAGCATGACATCTGTGCTTGACTTCAATTCAGACTCAAGCGCAATTGCTAGTGAGCTCCTGGAGTTTGGAGACACCTATTTTGAGTACCTCGGTGCTTGCCGACTTCACGGTAAGCTTAGCTATTGCTGAAAGTCTGAACCAACGTCCGTTACTATTATATTCAGAAAGGGGTGTGGTGGAAGGCCGGACGGGCGTAAAGATGGCAGACGCGAAGGATGACGTTTTGGAAATCGTGGAGACTCCTATAGACATGACCAAGTATGTGGATGCTGTACGTGATCCTGGAGCTGGAGCTATAACCACCTTCATCGGAACAACAAGGGATACTTTTCAGAATAAAGAGGTGGTAGAATTGCAGTACGAGGCCTACAAACCGATGGCCATTTTGGAGCTGAAGAAAATTTGCACTTTGGCAAGAAATCAGTGGCCTTTGATTGGTATTGCAGTTGCCCATCGGCTTGGAACGGTCCCCATAGGGGAAGAGAGTGTGTTCATTGCCGTGTCTTCAGTGCATAGAAAAGACTCGTTGGATTCGTGCCAGTTTCTCATCGATGAACTCAAAGCAAGAGTTCCCATCTGGAAGAAGGAAGTCTACTCAAGTGGGGAGGTCTGGAAGGAGAATGCAGAGTTTCTTCAGCGGACCCAAGTCGGGTCCTAAAGTCTGGTTTTACAGTTTAGGCCATCAAGTATTTTTTCAGAAACATTCTTCTCAGATGTTCTCATCTGCTTCGAAACCTTCAACGATATTCATACAGTCATGTAAATTCGTCCTTCTTCTCTGTTAGGCTGTCGTAGAACATGGCTCTGTTCTGGAATGTGCATGAATCCGTGCATTGTAGTCTTGCGACTCGACTTGTCTTCCAGATGATTTACTTCGTTTCCTGATAGATCACTTATTTCCTAATTGAGTGCGCAAGCTGGACCGTCGTTCTCTGAGTTGGACGCACGTATAAACACTTCTTACCCTGTGAAGATGAACACCCTTCTTCCTCCCGTCCTCATCTAGGAACGGATTGTGAGTTCTTCTGGGAGACGGCATGATAGACTTCTGAACTGATGACCCCTATGGATCCTCGGCTTTGAGCTTATGGTACTCCAAACGCCAGTGACTGATTTGTTCTTCTTAACTCTTTTAGCGAGAGTTCTCGGCATTGAAGCGGATTTGTGGCATGCCTTTAGGTTAAGGTATGCTGGTAGGTTGCTGGTATAAATTTGATTCTCACTCTAACTGTATTACTTTGACGCCGTGCAGACAGTTGCTAGGGATATATTCCGACTCGAAGAAGAAACCCTTGCAAACTGCGAGTATAAGCTGACTGCCATGTGTTCGTTTCGTGCCATAGCAGTCGAGCTCTTCTGAATAAGTTCAGCATGTGATCAGTCCTATGGCCCTTTAGGTTGAGAGGCCTACTGACATTTTGTCTCTTTTCTCTGGAAAGTGTGGTTCAAATTATTTGCAGTGATTACCCTTGTAGTATCGAAATTTCTCTTTGAAGCTTTGGAGTCGCTCAGTGCACGCACATAGATGAGGAGTACAATCTGTACATCACAATGCTACAAACGGACTGACCAGGTCACACGTAAGACAATGGTGAGAGAGCACAAGTACACAGCGATACGGAAGGCAGGCAGTCAGGGGGTACCTCTCGTAGAGTACTCACTACTCCCGGTGTCCTTCACATCTAAGCGAGGTCAAGACTGTCTTATAAAGTCGTCAATGGTACCGATAGTTCGTAATATCAGGATGTATCATTGCCAGTCAACAGGCACTGGCTCTGAAGGATCATCTCAGCGTCCTTGTCGATATCTGCTGTTTAGGATGTACAGTACTACGAACGCCCTCTAACCCAGACAACAGGTATCTTTGTTCGTGGATCGTAGCTGTTCAGGTACAGTACTACTGCTCTCGAAGCAAACGAACGAGAAATCGGTTGGAAGTTCAGAGAATTGTAATTGCTAACTTCGAAGGAGTTAAAATGCCCTCTTGAACTCGGAATTTTGCTGGCAGCTCGCTGAATTGCTAGTTACATCACGTCGTTGTCTGAATACATATCAATGCCCTGCAGCAATTAGAGAGGAAAATGTCACAGAGAAACATGCTCTGCCGTGCACGTAGTTGGATCTGTTTCTTCATACGTGGTGATGGGATGAACGAAGTAGGTGTATGCTTTCGTTAACCCGTATCAAGAATTAATTGAAAGTTCTTATCGATGAAGCAATCAGTGCAGCAATGCATTTTGTAGCCAATGTTCTCGAACAGAAGGCATGTGTTAGCAGAGATGCATGCGAGCTCAGTAACTTGATCAGGGCTTGATGAGGAGATCCCATGACGTCTTCGATACACTTACCAACAGGACGAATGATGCTACTTAAGAACCTTGAATTCGACGAATTGTTATTTTCTCTCTGGAAAGCAGCTGGAGCTAACGACCCTGTGAAGCCAACAATTGAAGCACATAGGTTGAGAGGCCGAGCATAATCGATGGCAATCCATGAATTAATCAATGCGCTACTTGACTTGTATAATGGGCAGAGTATTTGTTGTGCACATGCCCATCACATCACAATATATATAGCCGTCAAGTCACAATGCATCGAGATTTGTCACAATCAAAAAAAAGTTATACATGGATACAAATGGATCACCAGATCTCATCTATGAACAAAATGTCAGCATGGACAGTCCATTTATCACCATAAACCGATAGATACTGCAATCAAGTAAGATTCTGGAAGACTTTGAAGACCCAGGATTGTCCCACTAGCTTCTCTTCACATTAGCCACACTATGAAATTCTCAACTTTGAAAAATCTCAATTTTGGGTCTCAACAGACTCTTTGGGTCTACGCAACTAGATCAAACCTTGTCTTACAGTCACTCCACCACTTTTGAAAATAACTTCGACAACCATCTTGAATGCTACTTGTGAAGAATCCTTGTGTGACAGGCAGTGGAAGCTCTTCCCATATTCCTATCCTTTTGGCTTTCTTACTAGTTGTCCACTCTCCTTTCGTTATCATCGCACTTCATTCATTTGTCATCCAATAGGTTTTCCTTGCTAAAGATGTCGGACAGAAGGGAAATATTAGGCTTTTGACGAAACCTCTATTTTCTCCATCAACTTTACGAGGCTTCTTTTCCACGAATTATATCATTGTCAAAGGGGGACCAAAAATATGAAATACACTACTGGGCTTACGTAAATCTATAGGATAGCGTCGTTCGCAACTGCACCGAGTTTGCTTTCCTAAAATTTGCAATACTACATAGGTACATACCCAGAACCTCAAATGTCCACATACGACCCAGTCACTTTACACTAAGATGCACGCCCGTGATCAGAAGTTCATTGCTTCTCCACCTTTGTTATCTCACGGCTGTGCAAATCTAACCAGATATGTCAGTCACTTGCCCTGGATTATTTTGTCTTTGTCATTACCTTTTGTTCTTTTCACGGTTGTACCGATTTTTCATGCAATTCTTTCCTTTAGAAAAACCTTCAAAAATTTGCGAAATACTCACTTAAATAGTGATTGCAATTGGAAAAGAGCACTTTTGTTCGATCTAGTTGATCCCACCTCTACGTGATCTCAAAAATATCATCTACACAGTACGTCAATACGTACGTGGATTATTTTCTCTTTTTCAATACCTTTTGTTCTTCTCACGTTTGTACTGATTTTCCATGCAATTTTTTCCTTTAGAAAAACCCTACAACATTTGCAAAATACTCACTTAAATGGTCATTGCCATTGGAAAAGGGCGCTTTTGTTCGATCTAGTTGATCCCACCTCTACGTGATCTCTAATATCATCTACACACTAGGTCAGTACGTTACTACATGAGTTCTAGATGACTCATGTCACTGCGTCATGGGAAACTTGCCACATGAGTCATGTCGCAAGTTTTCCATGTGGACGTTTCGTCTTCAGGCTGTACAACGCAGGACACCCTCTAAAGTACTTTCTTTCATGACCACGTCACAGTACTTTATAGCTTTACTGAATAGCTTTCGGAGGCGGTCTGTAGAGTTGAGACTTCAACCTGTCGGAAGTCTGCATTTTCTTCCCGTACGACCTTAAGGATGGGCTATATCATTATCTTCAGTTTTCAGACTTGCCGAATGCTAACCTCCATGCGGAAGCGTTCGAGAAAGCCAATTCCCGGTGAAGTTCTCGGATGTTTATACGTGTTCAGAACCTTGCCCTATGCTTGCGTCCTGAAGTAGACCAGTGATAGACGGTGGCTTCTCTCTTGTACTTCGATAACAAGGTAGTGATGTCCTGATAATGTCATACTATGTTTTGCTCTTAAGGTATTTAGTACTAGATACCATGGCGTGGAACGGAACATCCTCAAACTGGCAAATGTAATATCTCAAGTTTCACTACTTCAAAACTATCCCATTCGAGGTTTTTTATCATCTGGCCGGTAAAACCTGACGCAGCAAGGTGCTGCGTTCCCTGGATCTTCCACAAATCGGTGAAAGTGCAAATTAAGAACACGCGGTGGTCTAGGACAACATCTTCAACTTCAACCTGTTTTGGTGAAAAAGAATAAACATCATGTTTGATGTTGTAGGAAAACTTACTCAAGAAAATATTAAGGGTCACGACTTCACCGAGTCAACGCTCAAATAGAATACCATCTAAACTAAAGTAACCCGACTGCAAAGATGTTCCTCCATGGAATCAAGTCTAATCCACAGAATCAGCCACGCATTTACCGCCTTCAAGGCACTATGTAGATTTCTCGACCTCATCCAGACCACACAATAATCAGCAGACGCCTCAAGCACCATGGAGAGCTGCTATGGTAGACCCAGGTCATATTTTGACTGCTTTGTTCCTCACGATGTTAGAATCTTGAAAGGATGGTCCACCGATAAGTGATTTAAAGTAACACCTTGACAGCTCCATTGTGTATTAGACCTATATAACACCGAAACATTTAGAACATGCAACATTGACAAATTCCAAACGATGCATGTACAGAAATGGAAGTGCCTAAAGTAAGATGGCAGTATATGTAGGGGAATAAGGAAGTAACAGAATCCAAGGAGCCCACTCATACAAAATCGAAAGTTTGGTGCAAAGTCAAACCACATCATACCTACAGCCAAGTGAAACACCCAAAAGGAGAAAATAATGAAAACCTTCAGTTACCCCTTCATAGCCTGCACTATTCGAGTGAACGAATACACGATCTGCTTGGAACATAGCTCCAAACATAAACCTCAAAATACAAGAGTTGAGGATTCCGTCCTAAAGCTGCATCGAGGAGGGGTAACTTGCTATCTCCACTACCTAAGCAGCAGTAAGCTTGGCATGATAATTTACAACGTGATCTGGGAGGCCAACAGGTAAACAAGCTGTGAGGAACGATGGACTAAACTAGAGCGAATGAACGCGGGCACTCGCTCCTTCAGATTCTACTTGTTCGACCTTCTCTAAGTGAAACGGAGGGAATGGGATTATCAGCCAACACTAGGAAGGTGATGAGTCAGTAGACTGTACGAGTTGGAGCTAAAAGAAGGGGGAAAGGACAGCGATGAACCAATACAATCACTATACATACACTTCCGGGATATAAATGCTTTAGGAACTTGGCTGATTTGGTGCAGAAACTTGATCTTCAGTAAGACCCCTTCCACCCAACCTAGCATGTCACGTCTATGATTACAAAGGTAATGCCCTTCAAGAATGTGCGAGGTACTAATACTGGTCATCTGCTCGCACTTCTCCTGCTTCCCATACCCCTGAAAAAGCTTAATCTCATCCGCTGGGTGAAGGAGTCTACTCTGGTGGCTGCTGCTGTGTCTTCGCTCGTCGGGCTACCCACTTCAGCAGGCTCCTTTTGCTCTGTTTCCTTGATCTCAACATCCTGAAGAGACGCCGCAATGGCCTCCATAACCATCTGCGGATACAAGTCTATAAATGAGGAGATTACTGTGAGGCTTTTCAATAATGACATAGACAGAAACTCTCCAACTAACAAGTAATTATAAGTTCCGTCTCCAAACTGCTTTGAAGCAAAAGCAAATGCCCGAAAGAACTTCAGAACATACAAATCCAGCTATTTGATTTGCACTAGCTTAAACGGCTTGCAGATGGTAGAAAGAATCCCAAAAGCGAGAAACTAGGTACCTCAGAATAAATTACCTTCGAGCAACACTAGCAAACTGAGGAAATTACAATCGGTAAGTGATTAGAGAAAACTTGAAATCGCAGTGAGAGATCTCAAAACTTACTCTTTCTTCGTCATCACGATTTGAAGGGAAGTGAGCAAAGCTGTCTTCAGTGCGTGGCGACATCATTCCAGAGCTGTCTAAGCTGACTCCATTCGACGAATGTCGACCCCAGCTATCACTATAATCCTTAGAAGAGCGGTATCGTGCGAAGTCATCACGGTAGTTTCCGCTGTCCCCATTCTACAGTTGACCGTCGCAGATTAAGCTGAGGTCAGCTAACAACCTCTAGGATTAAAATCAAGAGCGATGAAGAACTTGAAACTCTATCTTGATTAATTCAACGACGTACACCAAAAAAGTGACTCGTCTTACCTCTAGGACAGCGCATGATGATGACCCTTCGAGACCATCTGTTGATAAGTCACCTCTGAGCAATTCTGATAGGTCATCTTGTGAATTTGACGTATTGACAGGCACCTAAAAAATTTGAACAGCTTCATCAAACGAACCGCACTTACACCGGAGAATCAGAACGACTGGCACTTTCTTAACGAGAAGAATTATAGAAGGCCACCATCCTTTACAGCAAGACCATTTCTTAGCGTAAATAACCAGAACGATTCTACAAACGCAAGATTTAAGAAGCGCGCAATGAATATCCACCAACTCACCACAGTTCGACTCATCTGCCATCGTGAACGAGTCTGGTTGAGTGCTTCTTCCGTGGACTCTGCTGTCAGACCTATAAGAGGTAAATCTCAGTGAAAACCATATGAGAAACGCAGACGTATATAGATAAGCTTTAACAAGCACAAGAACTTTGATCGTAAACCAACCAAGGTGCCATCACACACTAATTTTGCTAGCTTAAGTCATTACATTGGAGTATGGTTGAATGTATACCATCTTGTCGCGGCCCACTCGATGTTGAGGTAGGGGTTTGAGGAGTTCCATGTGCTGCTGGGCGTTCCGCCCCCATGATCTCATAAAGAATGCTCTGCACAATTCAGTCATACTGCACTTCAACAAAGAAATCGGGCAGCGAAGCATTTTGTGCTGTATTGACAATCGAAAGTGCTCTGCAAGTAGAGAACTTCATCGACGAAGACAAGCTGAACTCAAATTTTAGCCACACCAGGCCAAAAATTTGGGAGGCCTACCTCGTCCACATCGTCGTCCATTTCCAAGCCATCCGTGTCAAAGTAAACAGTATCGGGCGCCTCCGGAGCAACAGGCTCATCAGGTGGACGCAAGACATTGTAAAAGAATATGGTTATTGAGTCGTAGTAAAATTGTGGTCGTGGAGAATTGTGGTCACCTTCAAATTTGATGATATTCTTATCACCCTGTACCAAACCAAAGTCAAAACTTACGTGTCAACAACGTGCAATACACACCTGGGAAAAAGGGGAAACACAATTCGCCAAGCTACACAGAATTCCGGTAAAACCTGTTCTACTTTTTCCTAAACTAAATGACTTTTCAACGGACATCATGCACGTGATTATGCAGACTGACGTCAGAAAAACACAGGCGACATAAAAGTCTAAAACCAGAAATTCAAGCACTCGAAACGCATTCATCAACAGTGACAAAAGACTGACAGAAAACTAATGGCATTTTGCAATGTCTACTAGCTGATAGAGATACTCATTTGATATATGCAGCACTGGATTTACACTTTCGAGATCACAATCCGATATTTTCAACCAAAAAACAAAACTGATGATAAGATACACACCGAATAGGCCTTGAAGAGAAGGTCTGAGTGATGCGGTTGAATAAAGAGATCCTCGGTGGCATGACCAAAAAGTGCCGGGATAAATGATTTTCCTGCAACCTGTGAGAACCACTTTATATAAAGACAACGTAGAAACTACATAAACTTCTACTTACCCAGATATTCTACATCTTACCCGGTTTGTAGTACTCACCATAATAAAGTTTTATAATTATAGAGTAATGAGTCATACCTGTGTAGATATCTCCAAAAAAAATTTAATAATAAGCGCAACAAAAACCCAAGCAACTAAGCCTTCTACAATCAGGCTGTACAAGACATTCAAGATACCTGTGTGACAGACCTTATAAATGAAGAGGAAAAACTGGTAACAGACACTCTAAAGAGCCCGTAAGGTGCATATCTTGCAAGAAGTATCGTTGGTATAGTTGACGAACCTGGACAGTATCAAGATCCATGATATCGAAAGCCGCCTTCTTCTGTATCACTTTGCGCATATATTGTACAGCCACCTTTACCTGGCAAACCAGCAGTGTATTTTATTGTTAACCAAGAAACAAGAAGAAACATCGCAAATATATTGAATGGCCACAGTAGAATCCAGAACCAGCTAGTAGAAAGTTGGCGCTAATATAGGAAGTAATGTAACTAGAAGGTCACTAACTTTGATAACGGGATTCTTTGATCTGTATCAGAACCTCGACACCACTTCTTATGTGCAACAAAGTAAACCTCGCATTAGACTTCCAAGAAATTGGAAATATTTTAGGCGTTTGATCCAAGACGAAGAATAACAACTTACGGTGAATTTAGGAAGCCGAATTTTGTATACGTCCACAAGCTCCATCATCAGATCAAAGAGGTTGGAAAATGGACTGTCTAGCACCATTCCAGCGATGGATGGATCCTGGGCTCCATACATGAGGCTGCCAAATATCCACAATTGTCGTGAGTTCAGACATCGAAGACCGCTAAGTCAGCCTGGCAAGGGATATACATGGATGATAAGCATACGGCATTCAAATGAAAATAGTATTTATCGACGGGGCTTTCACAGCCCGCAGACCCAGCACGCAGGCTGCCCGAGGCCAGTGAGGAAAATTTGTACGGGAGAAAAATGTATAGAAGTAGATGAGCACCGAGAGAGGACTCCTTGAGAATGGAGAAGGACTATTTTGTATTGAAATTCTCAATCAAAGAATAGTCCCGAGTTCCAACCAAGCACCCCTACTAACTTAACTACCAGGCAGTTAAGAACATGATAGCTTCAAAAATGAGAAAACCAAAGTTATGATTCATGCGTGAAGTTTATCGAAGCTGATGAAGGAGATCGTGGAGGCGTTTGTACAGGGCAACAACTGCTCCTATAAGTGGATAAACGAAAGAAGGGAAGGGATGAAAAGGAGCAGGACAGCACCATGTGACAGCACCCATTGAGCGACCCCAGAGACCGATTCTTGACACATGCTTTTCGGTACGTAAAAATGTCACTGCCGCCTTTAAGTCTTCCATCTAGGATAACACCAATATAAAACAAGTGAGCAACAATTTAACCAATCTTCAAACAAGGATAAGCTAATGGCAGATGCTCCACAACGTACTCAGAAACTTCACACGGTCCACTATATTTTCCATTACGAGTTTTCAACAGTTTCCTATTCTACTTGGAGATACAATTCAAACGTGCTCAATTCTTCGAAGCAGGAGACAAAATTACCTCATTCCATCCCAGACTGACGTAGTCGCCATCGGACAAACCAGAACCAGAAAAGTCAAGTGTAAAAACAGTCACATTAGAAGGAAGCAGAATGATTGCTGCTTCGTTCGCATCCGCTCGACAACCACTATACATAAAGAAAACAACGACACAATCAGCTAGGATCATTGACGAAGTAAATCAGTTACATGCGCAGAACCAAACATCGCCCTTGCAGCTAAACCCTTGGGCACCAAATCTCTAATTGATTGCTATGACAATGTTATCATCCGAAACTAAATCGTTGTTATAAGAGCATATTCCTCATCCTTACGTAAGGTGGTGTCAACTCAGCAATGAAAGGTCACTTTAATCCTTCTTACACTCGGCACTGACTCACACACCTGTTTCCATGGCAATATATAACACAGGGTAATGACGTGTCCTCCGTCATATTCTGGGGAAGGTAATGACTGCATTGTAACACGTGACCTCTCTTGTTTGTGACCTGCCAAGGAGAGGTATATATGATCAGTTTGGCAGCCACTTTGAGTAGACAAAGTAGCGAATGAAACTCCACTTCATGTTGAAAAAACTTACCCAACAACTTTTCATCCGTTCCAGGACTTCCCAATTAGGTTCTCACGAACTCATCTTGCACCGCTAGCCAAGAATGCGACTTGATATAAATTGTGTATCTTCATATGCAATCAAGTGAAATACGTTGAGAATGAGGCGCGTTAACTTGCCTCAAGATCTTTTCGCTGATACTTGCGGCCCTTCAACAGAAACTCATTATCGAGAAGGTCATGTGATGGGCTGTAGTCGGCCCTGCAAAAGTTATTCAACCATATAAGCATCAGTCTAGTATATTTAAAGCTTCATAATCGACCATACTCTTCAGGCCGGAGAGACCGATTTTTCTAAAAAGACGAGCATACGTTCCATTAACAAATATGAAGAAACCGAACTCTACTTTCTTCTTTAGGGGTGTCAAATCTTTAAAATGGCTCTAATATTCTTGAATAAGAGAAAATAGCAGGTTCTACACGAGCGATAAAATCGCTGCACTCAGTGTTGGACACTTGGATCCCGACCGAGTACAGGCCTGAAGATGCGACTGTCCACTAGCCGACCCGCTTACTTGTGGAGAAGAAGGCTTAGTTTTCATAAAGTTAGGTCCAGAACTCAGACAAAGAGCACGACAAAAACACTGCTATGTCGTTTCCAAAGTCTACACTAGAAGTTTCAGGTAACTCTCTAGAATAGGGTTTAGTCTGGTAGATTCGAAATTGGACCGTTTCGGTAGTTAAAAGGGCCTAGCAAAGCACGATAGCACAAGAAAGCGTGAAGCTGAAGCCTGTAATTTGCGCAATATCCTGAACGAAGCTATATCTGGTGCAGGTGACCAAAAAAATTTCGAAGAGCAATATATGAAGCATATGATTTGTGACGAACTTCTAACATTCGAGTTCTGAAGGTGAGTAAGAACGCGTTCTACTTTCATGTCACTAATGCAACTGAGGGTACACGTTACCTTCACAAAACTGAGTATCTAAGGCTCGAAACAGTTGACGGTAGAAAGTCTGGCTACTGATTAGATGTGTTCCGTGAGGTCCGCTTGCGGACCTCACGGAACGTACAAGCCAAGTTGCTCATAATGCTAGTCCATAGTAGCACCACAGGGCTTGCAAGAAGAGAGTGGAAGAACTGACAGTGTGTCACACAATACTGATGAACAAGACTAGGAAAGAACTACAAAACTGATCATGGAAAAGATATATGTAGACAGTGAAATGAAACAAACGAGATAATCCACTGGGCAATGGAGCGTCATGAACAGCAGAATAGACAGCAAAACACTTCCGGATCAAAGAGTTTGTTCGGTTTGCGGGCGTTAAAGTATGTGCAGAAGAAGAAAGAACGTGAGAAAAGTCTCGGTTCAGACATGTCAGGTGCAGACAGGTGGAAACTGGACTCGACAGAAATCGAAGCAGGGTGGACAAGTCTTTAAAGCGGAACCTAGGTGGCCGTATGACGAAGTTGACAAGTTGCTCAATCATCTTCATTCACAGTCCTCGACCGCGATTCCCAATTCCTCGGATCTCGAGGTCAGGCTCATCAATGGCAGGCCCGAAGCCTGTTCCTAACGACGGCGGAACCCATCATCTGTGGTAGATTCTTGCTCCGAATCAGATAAGCTTCCCATGCTAACTGCCCCTCAGAATCCTAAAGCTCCATCGCCCTTCTCTCGGGTCAAACAACGCCTTCTACCGCACTGCACTGCACTGCCCCTCTTCTTGCTAAAACCTGTTTTCACAAAATCACCTCCTCCTCTTCCTTCACGCATTCAAATACCTCTGTTCCGCCACTGCATCTCTCTGCTCGATAAAACCTTCACGCCCCGGATACAACTAGGAGTCTGCCCTGTCCGCGCCTCTCTTGCAACGACCATGCACACTATTCGGAACTCTCGATCCTCGTCCTATCCAACCTGCTTTCCTATCAATAGACCAAACCACATGATTGCGCGTCTTCGCCACACCAAGAAGACGAACTCCACTCCCGACTTCGGCTCGCAGGCAAGAAGGCAGCAGGGCGGCAACCCAACGATCAACTCAGCCTCACCACGAGGCTCCGGAAGGCGGCACTACACTCCACTCAATCGCGCGTAAACGCCACCACCACCAGCAATGCAGACCTGACTTCAAGCCAGCCTGCCTGCCTGCCTGCCTGCCTACTCGCAACCAGCAGCTGCAGCAGCAGCAGCAGCAGCAGCACGGCACGCTAGCTCACTCCGCTCGCTACCCTCGTCTCTTTCGCTCGCTCGCTCGCTCGCGCCCGGCCCCGCCCCGGAGCTTCTTGTCTTCCTACTTGCTTCACTTCTTCCCTCCCACCCCGTCAACCCACGCCCGAGAGCTAGGCCAGGCAGCAGTAGCAGCAGCAGCAGTGCACGGAAAGACCTCGCCTCTCGCGAAGACCGAACCAGAACCAGACGCAGGACAGTGGGCGCAGCGAGCAGGCGGGCGGGCAGTGCGCCAGAGAGAAAGGGAACCAACGACCTCCGCTTCCTCCTGATGATGCATGCGCAGACAGACAGATCGAGCACCGAAGAAGATCTCTCTCTCTCTCTCTCCCTCTCTCTCCAAGCGCCTTGCCCGCGCTTTGCAAGAAAGAACGGACGGATGGACCTCGACCCTCTCTCCCTCCCTCTTGACCACGGCTACGGCGCCATTTCGTCACAGTTCCACTCACTGACTCATAACGTGACCGCGTTGCCGCACGTCTCGCAGTTTCACGTTACGTGGTCGCAGTTCCGACTTCGTCAAGGTGGGAAAGACCAATGAGGTGAAACTTGTGCATGGTATCTTGAGAACTCTTGAATGCGTTCCATGGGGGAAGTCCATCGACTCTTGACTCTCCCGTTTACACCCATCCCCGAGGAGCTCCCTCGCCAGTGCTTTTGGCCGTGACTCGGGTGGATCCATCATGCGCAGAAGGTGAACCGATCAAGAGGTGAGCATGTCGAGCATTTACTTGAAGTGCGAACCTGTAGAGATTTTCAAGCCCAGGTTATTTATGCCCACTGGGGGGTTGAATGTATTTATGTTCCCACATGACATTTCGGTTCGTCCAAAGCACATAACTCTGGTAATCTATTATGTCTCGATTCCTTTGTTCTCATATTCTGACTTGATAAGCACTTTTCCAAAAGAGTGAGGTTGTTACGATTCTAACATCTATCAGCAGTTATTTTAAAATGAAAAATATTATATGCAATCATATTTCTGTATCTTAGTCTTATATTGTATTTATAGTGTAACCCTATTCGTCTTCAGTGCTTTTATTTGGATTTGGAGGGGTGGGGAGAGAGACAGAATTAGGAGGATAAATTCTCCTCTAAATGTCTAACTTCTAACCTCAAATTTTCAATTTCTCTCCACTCACGTCTTTCTGAAACATCCAGGATTAAATTTCATTTTAACATTTTTCAAATTGAGGGCTGTTAAAAAAAAGACGTCAACCTCGGATTTGAACATCTTACAGACGGAAACCCAAAAAAAATGTTTTCGTAGCAAAGTGAAGCTCACCGAGCGGAACTTTCGTCATGTCGTGATCACCCAAGTAATTTAACGTACTTGAATGTAATGCCACATAGAATGGGTTCTTCCCATTCAATTTTGTAATTTAGAAGGACCATTAAACCTTGATTGTAATGTTATAAATTTACGACAATCAAAACTAAATGAAAGTCTTAGGTTTGAACTGCCTGATTTGGTACATATTTCATTTTCCTTTCTTCTTATTTTGGAGATTTCGAATCTAGGATGATAAGTAGGAAAGATTGCAAAATACTTTTTCTCTAAGAATTTATAGAATGCTCAAATTTTTGGAAATTGGAATGTAGAATCAAGGCGTCTCTCCGATATTTCTTCAGGTTATTATACTGGTGTTCAAAATTTCAGCCAAGGAGAATTTGACGTTCTAGATCTAGCTAGTTTTTATAATTCGTTTCTCTAAGTTTCATAGATTAGTGGAGAGATATTCATTCAACAACCCAAGTAGCAATTTGTTTCTAGAGTTGGGAATATTGGTTTCTGTGTCATTTGCATGTGAAAAGTATGTAACATACCATTCTAGTGATTATTTTATGAGCTCGAGCACGTCCTATGTAGTCAGAACTATTCCACCTCTCACGAGATTAGAAGTGGCACATTCATGGCTGGAGAATCAATGCCATAACATTTAATAGCAAACAGAGGATTAAAATAAAATCCCGAATGAATCGAAAAGCAATACGGCAACCCTTACGGCACTCTCGTAAATTATGTTTTTTTTAAACATCTACAAAGAGGCAGATCATAGCCGTTAATTTTTTTGCGCCACATGCAATTGATCAAGTTACCTTCAATTCTTAAAGAGAAAACATATATATATATATATATACATACATACATATATAAGTATACACATATCATTCTTGCATCCTCATTCGGCAAAATTGGTGCTAAGACATGAGAATCCATTTTTCAAATGTATTGATGAAAATCAGTATAAGAAGAGTGATGGCAAAGTATATGGATGTGCAAGAGAGCACATAGAAGACAGCTCTAAGGTCGTAAGAAAGATGACAAGAGTCTAACATCAAAACATTCATGACAGAATACACGTCTTCATAACATGTCTGTAGTGTCAAGTGGAGATATGTGCCCCCTTCTCTTATGCCAACTGTAATATTTCTTTCTTTCTATCTTAAAATATTAAAACCTTGAGAAGGTTGGACTTTCATCTATAACAATCAATTGTAATTAGTTTTTGTTCTTTAAATGGTAAATCATATCAATTCATTTAATGGATGATAAAATTCACCAAAGTTCTCATATTTATCACTACTAACAAACTTTGATCATAGGCGTCACGTTTATGATATTGTGTGCACATTGCACTTTCCAAACTGTGAACCAACATGAATATTATAATACTCCGCAATTAGCTATATCAAGGAATTGCTACTCCTCTTTGCTATGTTATTAAACAATCTTGTTATAAAGTGGATTGAAAAATGCATTAATGACACAGCAAAATGGACAATGGACAAACCCTAAATATTGAAGCAACCCTTCAGATGGTTTAGATTCTCGGAAAAGCAACCTTCTATGATACCTGGAGCAGCAATTAAGTTACTGGTAAAAAAAATGGATAGCATTCTAGGATATCAGACTCTGATAATTATAAAACTTTAAAGGAGGAAAGTAGTTTTAGGCTCAGCGGCCATATAGATTAATCTGCTCCAGGTGCTCCTAAAATACGACCAACAAGATCACACTCCCAACTTTTATTCACATTGTCAAATTTTGATCGTTTATAAAGTTTAGAATTAATATCAACGAGAATTCATTAAACTTACAGGTATTCTTTGTTTGAGATAACTATATTTCCACATAAACTAGCCACAAAAGGTATACTTTATACATTAGTCTTCCCGTATTGTATTATTTAAAGTATTCGATTATACTAAAAGTGTATAGATCTGTTTTGAAATCCTCAAATATACTCCCGTAACTGGAATCTAAAATGATACCAAGACTGTAGATGATAGTATGCAATGACCGCTTCAACTTGTAGAGTCAGTTTAAGCTTACGCATCGAATTTAAAAAAACAAAATCTAGACCGCGATGCATCCAAGGTATAACCACATTTACAAGTAAGCATAAACTTAAAAATTGTGTATATCAAATCAACACCAAATCTCCTCCCAATGGGATCGTATTGGAAGGTGATGAGACTTGTAAAGCTTTGATGCACGGTGGAGTCAAGATCAAGCTATACGTGCAACGGGCCAACGCTAGAGCTTCTACTCGCGCTAGCAGGGCGAGGGATGGCGTGATTTATAACAAGCAAATTTTTAGATTATTGAATACGTAACATTAAACGTATAACCCTAGGCCAAGAGGTGGGTATGTCAAAGTTTATTTCAATGGTATAAAAACATAAATCGCCGTAACAACTGTTTGCGTTGTGAATCCCGCCCTTTCAGAGTAAAGAACTGTATCGTGGTAAATTAACATTATCGTTAGCTACACGGTGAAATATAGGAGAAAAAAGAAAGGTAGAACCCTGGGGACGAGGAAACACGTAACTGATATAGATAGCAGGCAAGAAATAGAAGGCAAGCACTTCGTAGAACCACGACAGTATCGGCCATCGGTGTCAATGAATACTGAACTGCAGCGCGGACCGGACAGGCAACAGAATGTAGAACAGTGAGGAGCACAACAACATGGATTTGGATCACAGTTGCAACCGAGTGGAGGTATTGTGACTGCTGCGGAAGACAGACAGACAGACGCAGGACGTGAAGAGAGACGGTGACAGAGCTTTCACATGTTCCCCTCCACCTGTTATAGTAAAACGACGGATTTCAACAAGTACGTCCAAAACATTCTTTATTACGATAATCCAAGTCAATGCATTGGATTATGTGGTTTCTAGAATTTCGCATTCGTCAAAGTCGGCTGGCCTGGCCTCCCTCTTCTGGCAATTTATAATCTACAGCTTTGTCTTGAACTGATCAGCCATACCTGCGACACTGTGGCTTTTCTCTGAAGATCGTTACAGCACTTTCTTGGAGGAGACCAAAGCTAATAGTAAAACTAACCGCTTGTTTGATTGGAATTTCTTAAGTTTTGCCTACATGTTCGGTCCTCATGAGGATGCATAAATATTCTAATTTGTTAGACTTGAGTTTGGGATCTTACGTACATTCAATGCAATGTCCTGTCAGTAGACACCAAAATTATCTCCTGTCACCAGTATGTACGGTGAAGGTGGATGAAACCAACGCAGTTATTTAGTGCCAAGCTGAATGAAACATGTGTCCAAGTTGTGGATATAATTATGATAAGGGATGTAATCTAAATATAAAATAATAGTGGTTTTTTCATAAGCCGTAATATTGATTAGATTTTATCTGTAATACACATTCCAGTTTAAAGATGATACGTTTTCCTAAGATGAACCCAAACTGCTTAAAACATGTTTTTTGCATCTCATTTTGGATCTGAAGATGATCAGATATGGTGTATCTAGGGAAAGAATAGGAATATAGATAAAATAGCTAGCTCAAATTATATTCGAAGTTAAACTATGTCAAACCGCAGACTTCAGAAGGAACTTGTGAACTTGTTGGACTGTTATCGTGGTCCATATAAAACATACAACGATGCCATCAATTTGCAGAACACGAGCTCAGAAGAATGTCCGCTATACACTCCAGACGATTGGCGTATTCTTGCATAGAATTTAAGCGCAAAACCCAGGTTATACAACAACCTTACTATGAACCTTGATCCACCGAGAATTTTCCAAACCAAAAAAACTTCAATAAAATACTAACGAAATACGTAATGGTTTATGGGTCTTTCCATTTTCATTATAAAAAGGCTAATGACACGATAGACTAAAGTACGATTTGTTTACTGAAAACAAGCTTTTGTTAATATTTGGATCACATTTCTAGTTTATGTGCCAAAGATACGAATGCAGCCGCTCACTATACATGCACAATTCGCCCCACTACATGACTCCTACAATTAAAGCAGCCCACTCTACGTGTCCTTTACATTAAACCACGCTTGAGAAGAAT